ACTGTCTTAAAAGGCTGTACCTACAACAGGACCTAAGTTAGCCAGACCCAAGCATTGACTCAGAGGTGTGCAGTCTGGTCAAGTGATGCTGTTGAAAGGGCAAATGGGACAACTGAAACTGCACAGAGTATTGGATCTAGCTTGTATGCCACCAAAGTATGTCTAGAGCATCCCCTAAAGTACAGAATTCACCTGACATTCCCCATCTTAGAATACCACGCAGATCATCCAGAGCCATCTCTGAAGTCCTACAGGCAAGTAATGGATTAGTAATTTGTAGCAAACTAGCCCAGATGTCATCTGTCTCTGCACATCTTCTTATCTATGAAGAGCCTGCTTCCCTAATTAGACCCAAATTTCATCCTTTCCTCCTAAGAGTGGCAGAACTACAGCTTGAGAGCTAAGGTCTCTTTCCTTTTGACCTAGAAGTCAAGCTATCCCTTCTCCCTCCTTACTGGGAGGAGTCTGCCTACTTCTCTGTATGACATGACATGGCACACTACTTATGAATGAAGGAAAGAAAACTACAAAGTTTAGAATTTAAAGCCCAGAATAACTTCCTTTTATAGAATAATGTCAGCTCAGTGAACTAAAGCCAATCAGGTACCAACCTGCATAGTGCTCAGAACTCAGACAGGACTGTTTTGGTAGATCCCTTCTGAGAGTCACACAAGAAGAGGAACTGGTAACACACTTTAAAAAAGCAATGAGGTAGACGATGGATCCAAGACAAATTATAGCAAACAGATAGGAACAGTGAACAGCCACGAGAATAAATGCACCCTGTCAGCAGTACTACAGGAAATTGAAGTTGGTGGCATTTATTCTTGCTATGTCCTAAATACAAAGGTAGCACAAAACTGCCGCAGTGAGAGACCAGCTCTTTGGACTTGTCCTGGCTACATCAGTCATAATAAGCTGCTTCTTTATTTTTGGAGGAAAAGCTTTCTTACTGGGTAGATTGTGCTCTCCTGTGAGCCCCTGAATAAGAAGGCAGGTGTCAGACATATCGCAAAATGTTCAGACAAGAATTGCTGAAGGTAAGGAAGCAGCAGTAATTTATTGTCAGAAGCTATTTCCTTTATAATGATCAGAAAACAATAATTTGGGGCTGGGCTCTGAAAATCAGTACAGGAAGGAAGATAATCCCCTCCAACGTTTTTTCCTTCAAGATCTATTGTCTTTCTCCGCTTCATAGCACAGGTCTTCGGCATGTAAAAATCAGAGGTGGTTGGCCGTAATTTTGATGCTTTTACACAGTTAAATTCTATGTTACTTTGAAGTATGCATTAATCGAATAAATACACACAAATAAATTCACACACATATATTTGAGTGTGTTTTTTGCAGGTATGTTAATGTCTTTTTATTTGAACTTCTACAGTTCAAACAGCTGTACATAGAGACGGTCTAACTGAGGTGAACATTAAATGCCTGTGTACATCATGGAATCTTTCACAGACTAATGACTGAGTGATCATTTAAAAATTAGCAAATTTTGTTAATTATAAAGCAAGAGAACAAGCAATTAATAAAGGCAAGATGCACTTTCCTCATTTATTTTGACAAGTGTTTAAATTATTTATGATATTTTTTCGTAGCCTACTAGTAAATAATCTGTAATGAAGTTTTAAAATTAAAGCAACTATATTAACACTGACCTTACTATAGTACTCTGTTATTACAACTTTGCTCAGCACTCAGGAATGATGTACTTTGGGGCAAATCAGAAAGTGCACAAATTAGATTCTACTGGATAAGAATCAATTTGTCATGCATATGTCACAACTTGGTGATATAGCTATAAGATTAATAACCATAACATTAATTTATAATTTACAGTTATCAGTATAACAATAATTGTATAGTCATCCCAGATTTTTTTTTTTATTTGCTGGTTTCATCACACCCATTTTTCTACCAGGGTCAGGCCTATATATTGTGTGTTACATATCGTGGGATATCTTGAGGTAGAAGAATAAAATATTTTATAAAATTTTGACCTGTACTACTCTCCATTTACATTTTATTTAAAAAATCTGCAAGCTAAACAAGTGAGCTCTACCACCTACTATACCTACACCAAAACAGTATAGCCCATTATTTATAAATTATGACATACTTTGATATTAGACTTCAAAAGGCTCATGGTGATTGAAGAACTAGCGTGGAAAGCATTATAAGAAAAACATTATTTTGCAATTACATTACTTAATAGCTACAAGGAAATACTGATGTCTAGTGTTAATCCTTTGAAGTTCATTTAGAAGGAATAAACAGAGGAAACACAATATCCAAGGAAAATGAAGATGAATATAGGCATAAATGTAAAATGGATCAAATTAATTTTTGAAGCAAGTCCACTGGAATTGAAGACTTCAAACTAGGAATTTAGTTCATTGAATGGAGTGGTCCAGCAGTGTCATTGCATGGTTATGATGCTCTCTAAGTCTAATGATTGCTTTTGAGGACAGACACACTTGACTATAAAACCAGATGATGTATGCATTAAGACAAAGGGCAAAGCAAGTAAGCTGGAAAAGACTGGAAATGATAGAGTATGGATTAAGAGCTGAGTGTGTTCTGAAGGATGAGTGGCTTTTCCCTGGGCTCCTCGCCTGCTGCAACAGGTGCTTAGTACATAACGTACACGTGGAGGAGACTGCACGCAATAACTGCATTTTACACAGATTTCCTTAGCACAGGTATGAGAAATCAGAGCCACCTGTGAAATCTATGCCTCCAACACAACCTAAGTCAGCTGAAAATTTCTTAGCCAATACAGTAATTCTCCAGCTAAATTAGAAGTTTAAAGTCATTTTGAAAGAAGGGGAGTTGGAGCTATTTCAGATGAGACCAAGAGAAGATGAAAGCAACATCACTGCTTAAACTAGACAAGTAAAACTATCCACTCTAAAGTGTAATGTTAGCACAGTACTAATAAAGTCAATGCATTTACAAACCACAGCTTTGAACTTCTGAAGCTAAAAGAAAGGTACCATGAGTTTTTTTCCACTCTAACAACTTCTGACAAAAGCCTTTCACAGAAGCTAAATGACAAAGACTCAACTGACAAAACTTTCAAGATTGAACTTTGCTGCCTCACAACAGTTCCACCTGAAAGTCGGAACACACTCATGAAAAAAAGGCTAGTGACAGACCTAGAGGGGCTTTTCCTTGGCATTTGTGTGTTGGCAGAGCAATCCTCTTTTATATGCCCATATCAATTCCTTTATTTGCAAGAAATAGCTAAATTTCCCAACAGATTTCTATTTTTTTTCCCTTAAATTGGAACTTTAGTTTTGTTCCAGTCTTTTTCTCTGGCTGTCCCTCTGTCCATTTAAAATACCTTACTATGGCTACTATAAAAACCATCTGTGGTGTTCAATAATTAAGTCTTTTACTTCAGATATTTTATGTATTGCAAAAGAAAAGAGAAATGAAAACATTCTTCAGAGTGACTACCAGCAGAGACTATGCTGTCTGTCATCACATTTGCAGTATGCAAAAAAGATGTATCTTTTTTCTGGACATACAGTCTGTTCATATGCCTAAGAAATGGAAATTACCTTTGGTGCAGCACCTGAGTCTCAAAGATATTAGTGTTTCCGTTACAAAGCCACTTTTGGGGTATAATGTATAACTTATCAATTGTGCATTTGCTGAAACATAGCATCCCTGTTCTCAGCTAGGAATGTACTTTAAAACAGTCTTTCCTTCGAAGTCATTGGATTGGGAAATCAGTACTTCCAATAGGAGGCAAGTGATTAACAATCACCCTTCTTTACTTCCATTTTTATGTAGTAATCATGTCACATTTTTAAGAGCTGTTAAGACACAAAAAGGACTTTTATTTTAGCTGGTATCTGATTTTCTCCATGTGATGGAATACCACCCTCTTGTTCAGTTCATGTGCACCTCTTTTTATTTGTTGGCCTGAAGATTTTGGCAGTTAGCAGGATGCAAAATTGTATCTTTAATAAGGCAAAGGTGCCAGAAGATGCAGATGTTAATACCCATTTGGAAATAGTTTGATTGTGGGGCTAATATTAAAAAAGTAACATGCTGGCTCCATAGAAGTCAGTAAAAATATAACTGTTGACTTCAAAAAGGCTTTGAACAATCTTGCAAACAAAACAGCATGGGCTGCATTAGCACTCCATTAAGCAGTTTTCTTCTTCTGACTTTTCCTGATATTAATTAGAACACTAGATTACAGAGGTGACAGCATCAAGAACATTAAAACGATTAGAGTCTTACAAACTTTGTTCTTTCAAGTTAGACTATACAATCAGTTGCTGTCTAGGTAAACTATATCCATTTACAATTTTTGCCTCAACTTCTGTGGACTCTTCAATACAGTCCCTGGGTACATACTTGACTGTGATTGTACAATTTCTTTCTCTGTGTTAACGAAAACACAATCAGATCACACGTCTTTCTATCTGTCACTGGGACATGACTGTACCTCTCCTGTTGCAAAAGGTGTTTATGTAGGTGCACTGAACAAGATGAATTTTTTTTTATTTTTTTTTTTTAATTCGGAGGTTGCTGCAACCCACTGGCAACGTTAAGGATGACCCTGTCCTCTGTTTAGTCATTTATAGCTGGGAAAAAGGAGGAGGGACCAGGACATGCAGTGCATCCAGAGGAGCACACAGTCTCTGCTAGTCACACGGTGCTGCATATTTTCTTCCTCGTACTTACCATCTTTGGTCCTATGGCTGGGCAGAAAATAGTGGGATTAATAGTAGGACCGATAGGGATGGGACAATGTAGGGAAGAAAGACTGAGGACTTTAGCCTGATCTAGTAAGTCTTTGTCCGGAAGAACTATTCAATGTTTCTACAGATTTGTTCTTAAAGATGAAACCATCTCCAATATAGCAACTGGCTTTTAGAAGCTTTATATATAAAGTCATACCCAAAATAAACATGCCATTTTCCCACACTAGAGGTGTGTTATAAAACTGCTTTTATTCAGTAAAATGCAACACTTACCTGTAAGACCAGCGGCTTCTGCTGATAAGAAGGCACTCCAGGATAGGAGGAAAAACAGACCTGTCTCCAACATGGGAAACTCACACAGCTTTGTAAATTTTGTCAAGTGCTAAAAGATTACTAAGGAAAAATAAAAACCCAACTATTTTGTAAGCTAAAATTGTCCCCAACCTGATAAAGGATGAAAGAAGGCAAACAAGGTCCCCCACCATACTCATCTATACAAGTTGAATTATGGAAAAACTGCACAGCTTCTAAGTCATCTCAAACAAAGAGGAAAATCAAGCACAGGTTTTAAAGAGGTGAATTCTACAAGTTGGCTATTTCAAGTACTTTTGTGGTTTTTGAACTAATGCCTAATTGGTTGCATTTGCTATTCTTTTACCAGAAAACGGGAAAAGAAAGTAATTTTGTACCCTTTTGTAAACAAACTGATATTTGTTTACATTTGCATCAACGCAAGAAAGATGAAAATCACTGCTCTTTCTACAATACTATTTTATATAAAGAACTGTAAAACACAAGAAAAAATGTAGGGCGACAGGTACGCCTTTTATTTCTAGTTTAGGTAAACTGACTGACTTGATTTGTAGTCTAGTGTTTGCCTTGTATTTTTGTGTAATTGCTGCTACTCGAAAGTTCATAAATAAGTTACTGCAGTTCATAAATTCATATTTTAACCTCAGAATATTTCAAAACACTTTCATAAAACATAATTATTTACAAATAGTAAAATAAAGACCAGAGTCTTGCCTAAAGTTAAAAAGAAATTTGCATATTAAGTTATTTGTGGATTCTGACAAGTGAAATTTCCTGTCAATTTATGATTTGACTATTTGTTTGCAAAGTCTTGAATCAACAGTGAAAAGGCTCAGGCTCAAACTAAAGATGGTCACTCTCAGGTATCACATGTTTTTGCCAACATATATAGATTTTCTCTCTGAAAACAAACCATAAAGGATATTAAAGCTGTGACAACAGCATAAGAGGATCCCATGGCAAACGATCCAGCAAAGATCCCCAGGAAATTTCCCACTGACTGGAAGAAAGCGGCAGCATCAAACGCATTAGGATTCTCCTTAGGACTGTAAATGGATATAGAGCTGAAAAGAAAACAAATGAATGGGGAAGAGGGAGAGAAAAAGGAATAATGAATTCAATCACATTGTTATGATTTCGGAATCGATAATTGAAAGGGGACATTTTCAGGGACTCAAAAGGCAAAACAAGGCTTCTCTGGGCTGATAGCAGAGGGGAGAACAAAGCAGATGGAGACTGGTGGGAAAACAGTTTATTTTCAAGGTATCACACTGGAAATCAATAGTCTACTGCCAGTCATTAAACATTTTTATACTAGCAGTGCCATAAAGAATATTGTTTCTAGGCCAACTAAACATTAAAAGGTGGTAGGTGTATAAGAAAACTGCAGGGAAGATAGATAACTTTGAATTATTTATTGGCCATATGTCTTCAGAGCAGTTATATATTCACAAATATTCTTGATAAAAAGTGCAGCTTTATGGCTGAGGCTCGAATGGGTGACACAAATCACAGTAGGTACCAAATCTGCAGCAGCAATCTTGTCATAAACCACCCAGTAGTTCCCTTCTTGATGTAACCCTTCATAAATAGAGCTGAAACCATATCAATAGGAAACTGTATGGACAGAATGAATGTTGTCCTGAAGAGAGAAACTGTTGCAGTTGTCAAAGGTCACCTCCCGTATCCCACCCATGAGTACAGCCATCAAGAGTGTTTTTGAATGGGCAATGATGCCACCAAAGGGAAGGCCGTACAGTAAAGGATTTTTGAGAGTTTCAGGGTTCTTATTTGCCACTTGTCAGTTATTCCCCAGAACACTAGTAACACCAAGTATGTATGCCTTTTTTCTTGCAGAAACATTAAATATAGCAGATACAAAATAGCTCTAAGCCTCCCAAACTAATTAAGCAACGTTTTAGGCCTTTGTGGTTCTTGCTTTCGGTACTGTAGGTCTTTTATGTTCATTGTCAAAGAAAATGTACTGAGCTTGGCATTGGATTCCAGAAAGCAGCTTGGATTGCTTGAAAATGATTGGTATTTTAAGCATTAAAAATTTAGAATTTTTAAAACATTTTGAATATTTTAAGCCCTTGCATATTAAGAATGTGATCCCTGCAGTCTGATGTCTTCCATCTGGAGACGAGGCTTAGAGATGAAGCTTTGTATGGAGGATTTTCTAAACAGTTGCATTCATTTAGGAATCTCCAAATAACATGAAGCCATGTGAAAACAGATCTCATACTTTCAGTCTGTAAAGGCATACATTGGAGCACCACTAAGTATGAGTGATGAATACTTATCCACTACAACAGAAATTACTCAGCACCAAAATCTGATATCTCCAGTTACGATGATTAGCACAACTACAAAACTAGTCAGATGATTTGTAGCAGAAAGTGCTGTTAATATAAGTACACAAAATATTGTTCCCGGAGGAAATGCTAATCGATAACATGTTGCTATCTAAATTTCCAGTCCTCTTTCAACTGTGACTGTCTTAGACCAGGGGTCAGTTATAATTCTTTGCTTCTCTTGCTTTCAGATGATTTTTGAAATGTTTTTCATCTCTGGCCTACTCAAAAGTTATTGTTTTAGACTCCATATGAAACAAGAACTATATTAAGCTATAGGTATGTTCTCTAAACTGATGGAATAGTTCTGTCAAAGAAAATCCTGTCTGCTGTGATAGTGTATGTTTATAGTGTAGTTTACTAAATGTATTTTGTATGGTTAGGGAGGGCTTTCATTTAGTTAGTTATTTAAAGTTGAAACTCTTTGGTGGTATAACTGGAACTGTTAGATCTAAAACTTTTATGCATGTCTTGACAGAAAAGCAGCCAGTTGGTTCTCTGATATTTGCCCCAAGTAAGTATATAGAGACTGCAGCTGCTGCTCTGTATTGCTTAGTGAATTGTGAGTCAGGAAATGACCTTTCCTGCCACTGGTGCTACTGCAAGTATTGAGTGGTGAATTCAGAGAGGTCAGCCTGACTACACCCTATAATCAAGGAAAATTGTTCTAATATATTGATGGGCTCTACCCATGGAAGGGATGCTTAGTAACAAAAAGTAAAACAAAAAAATCTTGACATGGAGTGAAAGTTTAGTAGTTAAATGTAAGCTATAGCTATTAACTGACTTTTTGTTAAGTATGTTAACCTTAAGGCAAGAAGTGTTGACTTTGTTAAGACCAGTTAGGGTTCCAGTTTGCCCTCCAGTTTACTAACATCTTTCAGGTATGGAGAAAACTAGAAGAAATCATCCTATTCTTAATGTAGTTATTTCAGGAACAAATATGGAGTGACTCATTCTCACTGGGAAATTTTTCTACTCAGTATGCCCCCCAAACCCCATGATTTTTTAAAAGCACCATAACACAGCATATGCTCATTATGCTAACTGTGGTTTCTGGTCTAAATCTTTCCATAACTCAGGTTTCCCTGCAGCTCAAAGAGTATTTAGTTCTATTTTTCATTTTGCATTATTCTATACTAGAGCTATTATTTCTTTTTCTGAATATGTTTCTTCTTTAATACTAACTTTTAAGTCTTTCAAGTGTCTAAAATATATACGAATTCACCTGATAATTTTTCTATATAAGCTGTACTTCAACAGAACAGGATTTTATCCTGTTTATTCCAGTACTTCCTGCCCAGCCAGTTATTTGACCTAAAAACAAAATTGCAAAGTTTAACCCTGGAGAGAACCATAATTAAACTTACAGTGCCTCTACTCTTCTTCCTTTTCCTCAGAGAGCAATTCAAGAAACACACTGGCATGACTTGCCATTTCTGCTATCTGTTCTCTGTGCTTGATACAAAAGGGTTGATCGCAGTTCATAAACATGCAGTGTGTGAGAGTTTGATGCTAAATTTGAGACTATGTTTAGTTTATAAATATTAGAGGCTTTCTAATTGTTGAAGTAGTATAAGAAAAAAAGGATTTCTGTAAATTTGTATCAAAGGTGGAGGAAGCAAATCCTGAAAATAAATGCAGTAGAAAACTCTTTTCGGAAATGGATAAATGAACAGAACTAATGGCAAAGATATGCTTTGTCTGCACCCATAATGAGATAGAGTGGAGGGATAGAATTAAAAGATTTGTGTTGGGTCCTCATCGAATGTTTGACAGACATATCTCATAAACACCTGCCCCAGTCCCTACTATCTATCTATATGTAAGTTTGGTAACCTCTGTCTCTCCTTCAGGTTGGAGTTAAGATCAGTACTTAGCTTCCTTGCTGGTTCTTATAAGGATTAGCCAGCACTTTCTGTGTTAGAAAACTATTAAACAGATCCCTTTTTCTTTCCAGTTCTTCTGTGCTTCCTTGACCAAATAACAACGGACAGGGTCAAGTGCTTTTACAGCTTTCAAAAAGGAAACATAGCCAATATTTATTTATACAATAAATTGCAAGTTAGGATAGCAGCTTTTGCTTGAAACAGAAAGGAAACAGTTTCTGCCAGTTGTACCATGCTGATCATTCCCTCCCCTCATCATTTTAGGATGAAAGCTCAGCATGATGAACATTTCTTTCTATGGACCATAGGGATATAATACTAAAGGTCTCCATGACAAGCAGAAGGGCTATTAAAATAGAAAGTGTACAGTCACATTTCCAGTTATATCTGAATTGATTACTTTTTACATCTTCTGTTATTCTCAAGGAAAATCTCATTTATTCATAAGATCCTTTTCTTCCTGTAAGTTTTCCTAGGCTGTGAATATAGCACAATGTATTTTCCGTTAAAAGAAAAAATGAAAGCATTTAGGATTAAGGCAAAGATTTTTCAGTAAGTCACGGAATTTTTTGAGGAGAAATCTGTAGGTGAGGTTAAATCTTGTATCCTACCTTTTGTTCCTGTTAAGGCCTGACGTGCCTAGGGCTAGTGGGGCAGCATCAAATAAAGAGATGTTAATCAGTCGTAACTAGCGGAGCAGCACAAAGATTCTTGGTTTTGATATAAGTCAAAGCGATGCAATACATGTATCAGATTAATTTTAAAAAAAGACAATATGCTGAAGAAAATACACTCAAGCATCAGAAGGAAAATGTGTGCAAGTAGCAGAAAATTTCTAATAGAATGATGTGGAATCAATTATTAGAAATAACCAATAAACAAAATGTTTTATTCCTTTCTTCCTCCTTCTGTCTATTTGTCCAGCATGAAAACAAACAGCTTATTATCTTTTGGAAAGAAAGATTTCTTTCCACTTGCTAAGTCAAAGGGCTTCCTCTTCCCCAGTGGCCTCCCTATTTGCTGCGCTGTCATGCGCCACATAATACTGAACAGAAAAGAATCAGGAAAAATGTAAAGGAAAAAAAAAATCATACCTGAAAATACAGTAAGGTCAGATATTCCTTAAAATACCTTCACTGGATGAAGTGGGATCTCCCTCAGGTGATAAATAATTATAGAACTACATGGTGATTTCATCAGCTGCTAATTAAGAAAAATAAAACAGGCTAGGAAAAAAAAGAACTATTCCAGAGTTCAAGGTTATTTTTATGAAGGAAAGAAGGTTATTTTTTCCTGACATTATACTTATATAGAAAAAGGTAGGTCACTATACTGTGTTAGAAAACTTGGAGCTTTTGGACAAGAGGATTGAACTGAATCCCACACAACTTTTTAACTATATAGTTTTCCTAAAAGCGTTGGAAGAAAGCCGAAAAGACAGAACTGTAATTTTCCCACAGTGTAAGTGTTTAAACTAGAAGCTAGATGTGAAAGCGCATGCATAGCACCATAGCACCAGACACCTACACCGTTTTTTGGCAAGTTTTAGGTTGGTAAAGCCTTCCAGGCTTACTTATTAAATAGCTCCTCACACAGTAATAGTAAGTAGATTAACGGTAAAAATGAAAACCAATGAGATAAGATTGGGATGCGAGTATGCTAAGCCAACAAAAGCACATATGAAGTAGAGAAGATTTGCAGACAATTAAGGGAGAGCAAAGAAGAGACACACCAGTGCAGGAAGGTTTTAGGACTAGCAAAAGCAGCTAATTGTAACTAATTTGAGGCAAATATTATAGAGATCCTCCAGATGAAAATTTC